ATCTAGCAATTTAGCCGGGCATGGTGATGCATGCCTGTAGTCCCAGAGCTACTCAGAGAACTGAGACGGGAGGATCACTTGAGTGATCCTCTACCTCTAGGAGGTAGAGGTTACAGTGAGCCAAGATAGTGCCACTATACTCCAGCCTAGGCGACAGAGAGAAACCCTGCCTAAAAAAATATCTAGTGACAATTTCCCAGGAAATAATTTAATATCAAAGTCAGAAGTCCCTAACGGCCAACTCTGACATGACAGGTTTCAAATTGATGAGCCCACCATCTTTGTAAAAGTAACTCAAAGTGATGACAACAGTATGTAGGCAATTTTCAAAATTAAAATTGATGAGGCTACTCCTTCTACTTGTCAGGGTAGAGAGTTTATTGATCTCTAAATCAGTGGTGTTAGAGGGAAATGCGAATCCAGGGATCTGCTGGCCTGGTCCTGTGGGTCCCTCACCAGGAATGAGCACTAAGTCAGGTCCAGGAGTATGGAGATGCTGGTGAGGTTGGTAACAGCAGGGATGACACACGGCCTACAGGCAGGATGAGCCCAGCATATTAATAGTGCATTAACATAAGATGGAAAAATCTATCAAGACTTGACATATTTATAAATTCCCCTAGGTAATACCCAAACCTCAAGTGGCTTAGCAAACAAATTATTTCAAAATTTAGAGTTCCCTCCAGCAACTCACTGTTGTTTTTATAGGCTGCCAGTTCAGTACAGTTGGGGGTCAATTCTTAACTAATAAAATAATCAAATCTTTAAGCATAAATCAATACTACTTTAGTGGCAGTATTTTTTAAATCTGTCAAAATGATCTCCAAATTAAATCTAAGAATGATAAAAAGGATTTATATTATATAACTTTCTACTGCTAGCTTTGACTCAGCAGAACATCCTGAGTAAGTAGGAGGCCAAGTAGGAGGAAAAGGCAGTGTGTTAGATTGCTTCACATACCTCAACAATGAGAGCTGAGCCTGGTGCTGAGGATTTACAGGCATTACCTCATGTAATCCCAATAAGGAAAACCTTATGAACTCTCCATTGGGCAGATGTGGAAAGTGAAACATTAAGTAACTGGTTGAGATTCACAGTCAGTGATCCATAGTAAGAGAATCCAAGCCCAGGCCTGTCCAACACTTAAGGCTTGTGTTCTGTCTGCTGTGCTACATAACAAAGCACATTGTATCATTTTTAATAGAGACTTAACAAATCAGATACATTTTTTAAAAACGAAATTACTAAGTGGCTAAAAGTTTAAAAAATAAGAGGATTTTTAGCTTTATATTAAAGTGGTACAAAATGGCAGCATAATGGGACCTAGTCTCTACCCCCCCAAAAAAAAAAAAATTAAAAATTAGCCAGGTGTAGTGGTACATACTTGTAGTCCCAGCTACTCGGGAAACTGAAATGGGAGGATCACTTGAACCCAGGAGGTCGAGGCTGCAGTGAGCTGAGTTCACAGGACTACACTCTGGCCTGAGTGACAAAGTGAGAACCTGTCTCCAAAAAAATTGCGGAAAAAAAAAAGTCAAAGAATTCTAAATGATCACACATAGAACCATTCTTTTTTTTTTTTTTTTTTTTTTTTTTGAGACGGAGTTTCGCTCTTGTTACCCAGGCTGGAGTGCAATAGCGCAATCTCGGCTCACCGCAACCTCCGCCTCCTGGGTTCCGGCAAGTCTCCTGCCTCAGCCTCCCGAGTAGCTGGGATTATAGGCACACGCCACCATGCCCAGCTAATTTTTTGTATTTTTAGTAGAGACGGGGTCTCACTATGCTGACCAAGATGGTCTCGATCTCTTGACCTCATGATCTGCCCAGCTCAGCCTCCCAAAGTGCTGGGATTACAGGCGTGAGCCACTGCGCCTGGCTGAACCATTCTTACATAATATGGCACCATACCAGATCTTGGTCTCCTTCAGTTCTGCAAGTCTAGCCATGGACTTTCTAAACCAGGCATTCTGTACTATATACTCAGAAAACTGTGTGGCTGTTTAAACTACCTGAAGATAGTCTTTTATTCTAAGTAATTACTTGGTAAGAAATTTGACAGAAGTTGATAGAAAAACCATGGTTCTATGCTCAAAAAAAAAAAAAACACACACACACACATTAAAATGAGGTTAGGGAATAAAAGTCTATTTAAAAAATAAACCTCACATCTTAATACCATGAGAACACCTTTCAGAAAGCTACATTCGGCATGCTTTGAATTATGAATCGTCTCCTGATGTCATCATACCCCAGATATTTGAATTGGCCATGAAAGACCAACAAACACTAGCCTGTCAAAATCTAAAATTACCATGGAAAAAAAAACGTTTATTTTTTTGAAATGAGAAATTCTAACAGGCAATTTAAAATCTATTCAATACTCTTTCTATGCCCTCTAGAAAACAACATGCCAATGAATACTTCCAGAAGGATTTTATCTTTGTAAACATTAACGTTGACTAATTAGGTGACAACAGCCCTGAGTAGAATAAACATTAGCATAGTCTCTCCATTAAAAAAAAATTTTTTTTTTTTAGATGGAGTTTCATTTTAGTGCCCAGGCTGGAGTGCAATGGAACAATCTCAGCTCACCGCAACCTCCACCTCTTCAAGCAATTATCCTGCCTCAGCCTCCCAAATAGCTGAGATTACAGGCATGCACCACCACACTTGGCTAATTTTTTTTTTTGTATTTTTAGTAGAGATGGCATTTCTCCATGTTGGGCATTTCTCTCTCAGGCTGGTCTTGAACTCCCGACCTCAGGTGATCCGCCTGTCTTGGCCTCCCAAAGTAAAGGCTGGGATTACAGGTGTGAGCCACCACGTGGGCCTAAAAATGATTTTTTTTTTTAACAGCCGGGCATAGCGGCTCATGCCTGTAATCCCAGCACTTTTCAAGACAAAGTTGGTAGGATCACTTGAGGCCAAGAGTTCAAAACCAGCCTGGTCAATACAGTGAGATCTGGTCTCTACAAAAAAAAAATTAAGAAAAATTAGCCAGGTGTAGTATGGTACATGCCTGTAGTCCCAAATACTCAGGAGGCTGAGGCAGGAGGATCCCTTGAGCCTGAGTTCAGAGCTGCAGTGACCTATGATTGTGCCACTGCACTCCCGTCTGGGTGACAGAATGAGATTTTGCCTGTAAAAAAAAAAATACATATGTGGATCACGAGGTCAAGAGATTGAGACCATCCTGGTCAACATGGTGAAACCCTGTCTCTACTAAAAATACAAAAAATTAGCTGGGCATGGTGGCACACGCCTGTAATCCCAGCTACTCGGGAGGCTGAGGCAGGCGAATTGCCTGAATCCAGGAGGCGGAGGTTGCGGTGAGCTGAGATCACGCCATTGCACTCCAGCCTGGGTAACAAGAGCGAAACTCCGTCTCAAAAAAAAAAAAACCATTATATATATATATATATATATATACACACACACACACACACACACACACACACACACACACATACATACAGGCAGGATCTTGCTTTGTTGCCAGGCTGTTCTCAAACTCTTGGCCTCGAGCAGTCCTCCCACTTCCCCACCCAGAGTAACTGGGACTACGGGTGTAAGCCACCATGCCCAGCTCTTTCCATTTTAAATGATGTAGACAGAGAAACTGGTCAGTTGAAAAGTTCAGGAAATGACTTGTTTTAAAATGTTAGCAAATAGATGCTTCATATTTTCTCTCAGAATTCCCCGCAAAACAAGAGGGAAAATACAAAAGAAAAGAGAAAGCCCACACTATCTGAAGACAGAAAGCCGATGGTGGAATGGGGAACAGGTAGAGAGGGTAGAAGGCAAAGCCTAAGAGCCTTCAGAGAACAGCAGACAGGAATGAGCTGACCTAATCTACAGAATCGAAGAAAAGGCCCAGAATTTGATGCAATAGGCAAGAGGTAAGAGGCTACTTTTCTGGAAAATCTGAATGGTCCTGGAGAAAATAGCTGCTGCTGCTGCTACAATCGAAAAAGCTGGCTCAGCTTTAGTAAGTCTGCTATGGCTTGAATGTTTTGTCCCCTCCAAACTCAAGTTGAAACTTAATCCCCAAAGCAAAGGTTTTGGGAGGTGGGGCCTTTGGTAAGGTGTTTAGGATTAATGCCACTATAAAAAGGGCTTGCAGGAGTGGGTTTACTGTCTTCCAATCACTCTTTTGCCATATGAGGACACAGTATTCCTCCCTTCTGGAGAATGCACCATTCAGAGCACCATCTTGGAAGCAGAGATCAGACACCAAACCTGCTGGCACATTGTTCTTGGACTTCCTAGCCTGTAGAGCTGTGAGAAATAAATTTCTGTTCCTTATACATTACCCAGTCTCAGGTATTCTGTTACAGCAGCACAAATGGACTAAGGCAAAGTCTCACTAAGATACTCAAAACTTTTACTCAGTTTTTAACATATTTTTTTAGTGTCTCATTCCTAAATAATCATGAAATGCTTGAGGAAAACCTCTAACATAAAGGACCAAAGTGAAAACAACAACAACAACAAAATGAAACTAAAAAACTCAGGAAACAGAAGTGAGGAATAGACAAATGGGTTTTGTCTATTAAAAGAAAAACAAATCTTCAAAGAGATATAAGGTGTATGTATGAAACACAAACAAGACACTTAAACAAAAAAGACTAAAAAGCACAATCAGGGAATAAGAAAGATCTCTCAGAAACTAAAAATTACAGTTAGAACAAAAATTTCAATAGTAATGTTGGCAAGTAAAGTTGACAAAGTCTTACAGAAAACAGACCAAAAATACCAAGGTGGGCAAAAGGAAAAAAACTAAGAAAATTAAAGGACCAATCCAAAAGGTGCCACATACAACTAATCAAAGATCTAGAAAGAAAAAAGGCCAGCATGGTGGCAAATGCCTGTAATCCCAGCACTTTGCAAGGCCAAGGCAGGTGGATCATTTAAGGTCAGGAATACCAGACCAGCCTTGCCAGCATGGTAACACCCATCTCCACTAAAAATACAAAAAATAGCCAGGTGCAGTGATGTACCTGTAATCCTAGCTGCTTGGGAGGCTGAGGCAGGAGAATCATTTGAACCCCAGAGGCAGAGGCTGCTGTGAACTCCAGCCTGTGTGACAGAGTGAGACTCTACCTAAAAAAAAAAAAAATATATATATATATATATATTTCTTTGATAATTTCACCAAATAGAAATAAGAAATTTCCCAAGAAATTCCATAATTAAAAGGTCCATTGAGTACATAGCACAATAGCAAAATAAAATGTATAAAAAAGAAGATCTGAAAAGCTTCCAGAGAGGCAGCAACAGGTCACGTACAAAAGTTCAGGAATAAGAATGGCATGGCCTTTTAACAGCAACAGTGGAAACTAGAAGACAAGGGAGCAATGCTTCTAAAAGTCAGAAGGAAAACAATTTTCAGCCAGAGTTCTATAACCAGCCAAACTATCACTCAATTGTGAAGGGAGACTACAGGTATTTTAAAACAGCATAAGGTTAAAAAAATTACCTCCCATGCACGCTGTCTCAGGAAGCTATTAGACTATGCAATCTACCAAAATTACAAAATATGCCAAAAACAGCAGCAGCAAAGGATCCAGTCCAGGTAAGAGACAAAGAACATTTCAAAGATGACAACTGTGTAGCAGCATCCCAGATTGGAACTAAAGGACAGAGGACTCCTGGAAGAAGGTTCTAGCAGGGAAACAGAGCTGAAAGATTCTAGTCTGCTAGATTTGACTGAAAAATTTTATGGCAAGGCTACTACAGGGTTAAGAAGAATTAGAGACAAATTCAAAAAACATTAGTGCCAGGTGTGGTGGCTCACACCTGTAATCTCAACACTTTGGGAGGCCAAGATTGGTGGATCACCTGGGGTCAGGAGTTCAAAACCAATCTGGCCAACATGGTGAAACTCTGTCTCTACTAAAAACATAAAAATTAGCTGGGCATGGTGGCATATGCCTGTGATCTCAGCTACTTCAGAGGCTGAGGCAGGAGAATCACTTAAACCTGGGAGGCAAAAGTTGCAGTGAGCTGAGATTGTGCCATTGCACTCTAGCCGGGGCAAAAAGAGTGAAACTCTGTCTCAAAAAAACAAAAAACAAAAATAACATTTGCACTTAATAATGAATATAGTGGACAAAGGAGCATCCTAGTTACTACATGAAGTGGAGAGGGTGGAATATTTACAGCCTGAGAGAGAAGTCCCTGTCCTATAACACAATTGTAGAGCTAATCCATAGATAGGATATGGACTGGTATTTTTCAAATTATTTGACCAAGACCCACATTTTACATTATAAACCAGTAAGAAACACATTTTACATTATAAACCAGAACCATTTTACATGGTGAGCCAGAAGTATAAAAAAGTGCCATGAAACAATATTATCTCTTTTTTATATACAATACATTTTGATATTTTCAAGTTTATTTTATTCCAAGCTTTTAAATGCTGCTAACAACCCACTAAATTGACTTCATGAGTCACTAATGGGTTACAACCCACACTTTTAAAAACACTGCCAAAAACTCTGGTCTCTTTTATTAAAAAGAAAAAATAAAACACTTCTGGAGTAGAGAATTGGAGAAGGCAGGGACAATGGCAAGAAAATTACAGACTGATAGTGAATGGGAAGAAAGCTGTTACAGGTGAAGGGAAGGTAAGTAAAGGCTCAAAAGCAGGAAGACAAAGTGTAGAAGGAGAAGACAGGAAAATGGAGACAGAAAGGGAGGTTGGAGACTAAACATGAAAGGTCATAGACTTGATCATTACTATGCTGAGTCTGATGTTACTCCAACAGCAATGGAGATACAAAAAATGTGGGGCAGTGGTGTCCCAGCAAACTGCAGTGCTATCCATATCATCTCATAAAGACTGACTTGTTAATTTTATATGCATAAAAATTACATAAATTAAAAACATAGAGCCAGGCATGCTGGCTCATGACCATAATTTGAGTGCTTTGGGAGGCTGAGGTGGGAGGATCACTTGGAGCCAAGAATTCAAGATTGGCCTAGACAACATAGTGACACCTCATCTTTACCAAAAATATCAAAATCAGCCAGACATGTTGGCATACATCTGTAATCCCAGCTATTTGGGAGGCTGAGGTGAGAGGATTGCTTGGGGCTAGGAGTTTGAGGCACAGGGAGCCATGATCATGCCACTGTACTCCAGTCTGGGCAACAGAATGAGACCCTGTCTCTAAAAAACAAACACAAATTAATGAAGAAATATGTAACACATGACTAGAAATGAAGAGAAGTGTTCAGTGAACCAACTGAGGTTCATTTTATTTATATTTTCTCCTAAACCTTCCATGAAAAAAATAATAAATTGAACGGTTTAGTCCTTGAGGAAAAAGAGCAAGCAAGAGATATCCTTTCCTTTTTTTTTTTTTTTTTTTTGGCTTTTTGTTTTTTTTCCTTTTTGTGGAGAATGAGGTCTCGCTATATTGCCCAGGCAGGTCTTGAACTCCTGGGCTCAAGCTATCCTCCACCTCTGCCTCCCTAAGAGCTGGGATTACAGGCGTGAGCCACAGCTCCCAGCCCTTTCTTTCACTTCGTGATCTATTACAGTAATACAGATAACTCTTTATATCTAAGATTCAGCCTTAAGAAACTTTTCCTACTTTTTTAAGCATCTGGGGCTCTCTTCCCACTAGGCTTTTGTACTTGATGTTCCTTTGACCTGTAATGTACTTCCCAAGGACTGACATCACACTGGTTGTTACTGAGCTTGAGAAGCCTGAACCCAAAGCTAGATCAGGTGCCCCTGCTATGGGGCCCTGGGGCACTGCCCCCATCCTCGCACCTTTTACCTTAGATTATAATTGTTTATTTATCTTTACAATTAGACCATAACTTCATTGAGGGCAGAAGCTACGTGGATCTTGATTATTACCAAAACCCCGTCTACTGGTACTGTGCCTAACCCATGGGGATACTCAATAAACAAATAAATATACTCAACAAAGCTTTTGCTTAGCGCACCAACATATACTTTTATTTTTTTCTTATTTTTTTGAATTTTTAATAGAGACAGGGTCTCACTATGTTGCTCAGGCTGGTCTCAAATTCCTAGGCTCAAGCAATCCACCTGCTTTGGCCTCCCAAAGTGCTGGGATTAAAGGTATGAGCCACCGTGCCAAGCCCCACAAACATATAATTTTCTTTTTTTGAGATGGAGTCTCACTCTGTTGCCCAGCCTAGAGTGTAGTGGTGAGATCTCAGCTTACTGCAACTCCCACCTTCCAAATTCAAGTGATTCTTGTACCTCAGCCTCCTGAGTAGCTGGGATTATAGGTGCCCACTACCACATGTGGCTTTTTGTACTTTCGGTAGAGACAGGGTTTCACTATGTTCGTCAGACTGGTCTCGAACACCTGACCTCAAGTGATCTGCCCACCTTGGCCTCCTAAAGTGTTGTGATTACAGGTGTGAGCCACTGTGTCTGGCCTCAACATATAATTTTACTCTGATACTAAAGCTTAGATCTGAAAAGTCAAAATCCGCTCCAAGCAAGAGCAATCAATTTGTACTCTCTGCCTATTCTATTAAGTAAATTGATCAAAATGTCCAGACTGATTCTGTAGAAACGTTGCCCAAAATTAAGTTAAATAAGGAAGGCAATGTGAAGGTTTGGACTTGAACTAATAAAGGGCTATTGTGGGTTAAGAAAGGTAGGCATGCAATTAAAATAGGACTTTAAGATTAGTCTCTCCTGCTATGCAGGGTGGAATGGGGGAAATTTTTTCCTCCGTTTTTCTTTAGCCTACTTTTTTTTTTTTGAGACAGAGTCTCACTCTGTCAGCCAGGCTAGAGTGCAGTGGTGCTATCTCAGCTTACCACAGCCTCCAACTCCCGGGTTCAAGTGATTCTTCCGCCTTAGCCTCCCAAGTAGCTGGGGCTACAGGCGTGTGCCACCATGCCTGGCTAATTTTCATATTTTTAGTAGAGATAGGGTTTTGCTACGTTGGCCAGACTGGTCTTGAACTCCTGATCTCAAGTGATACAACCGCCTTGACCTCCCAAAATGCTGAGATTACAGGCATGAGCCACCATGCCTGGCCTCAGCCTACTTTTTAAGGTGTGAGTAGATGACCATAGTAACATGAGCAATCAAGCACAAAGGCTGAATTTGCATGGACAAAGCTTAGTATACATTAAATTAACAAACATTTTTGAGGTGCTACTATGTTCTATGAACTGCGCTATATTATAATCCAAACAAACTTTATAAACTATAAGCTGACATATAATGAAATGAATAAAAATTGCTAAGAGCCAAGCTACATTAATGTGTCTGGTATAGTAAGGGGAGTCAATGATGCTTAAGTACAAATGAGAAAGAAACTATATAAAATGACTGAACTTAACATTATTTTCATAGAACTAAATCACATTTTTCTTATTCTGTTCCTACTTTGTTAATGTTTCTGTATCAGTAAGTAATTTTAATGACAACTACGATTCTCGCCGCTGTAAATGAGCTGAAGCCTGTTGAATGTGTCTTAGGGAGTTGCAGACTTCCTTATGGACTAGAGGAGTATAGAGAATGACATCTGAAAGAGGTAATTCTGGTATAAAAATGTGTACTATTGTTTCAAAGTAGTTTGTTCCCACCAAAATTTATGTGGAAATTTAACTGTCAGTTTAACTGATATGGATTGGCTGTGTCCCCACCCAAATCTCATCTTAAATTGTAGTTCCCATAATCTCCACACATGGTGGGAGGGTCCCAGTTGTAGGTAATTCAATCATGGCGGCAGTTTCCCCCATACTATTCTCATGATAGTAAGTCAGTAAGTTCTCACAAGATCTGATGGTTTTATAAGGGGCTTCCCCCTTTGCTCAGTTCTCATTCTTCTCTCTCCTGATAGCATGTGAAGGAGGACATGTTTGCTTTCCCTTCCACCACGATTATAAGGTTCTTGAGGCCTCCCAGCCATGTTGAACTGTTAGTCAATTAATCTGTTTCCTTTATAAGTTATCCAGTGTTGAGTATGTCTTTATTAGCAGTGAGAATAGATTAATACAGTAACAATGTTGGGAAATAGAACCTTTAAGAGGTGGAGCTTAATGAGGGGCATTTGGGTCAAGGGAGCTCTGACTTTGTGGGTGGTTTG